TGCAAAACAGATCCAAGAAGCGCTCGGTGTCCGTAAAGGCCACGTAGGAAGGGGTGGTCCGGTTGCCCTGATCATTTGCGATGATTTCCACGCCGTCGTTCTTCCACACGCCGACACAGCTGTACGTGGTGCCAAGATCCTCAGAGCTGCAGGATCAAAGTAGAAGGTTTGGTTGCCTCTGACCTGGCACCCTCTAACTTAGCTCGGCCTTAGGCCACCGACAACGAAACGTGAAACAAAAACGGCTCCCCCCGCCCCCCAGCCGCTCGATATCCGCCAGGCCGGAATCCGGGGAGTTTAGCTCAGATCCAGGAAATCAGCTGTAAGAAAATTACATTCTACGTACACCCCTTCCCGGTCCAGGGCAACTTTCTCGTTGATGGTCCCGCTTTGATTTTATTTTGGGTGGTGGCGGGGCAGGTAACGCGTCCTTGCTTTTTTACTAGGTTCTTGTTCTTTCCCTTCCCTCTGCAATGCTTGCTTCTGCCATGTTGATTTGCCCTCTTGTTCCCCCCTGCCGCTGTTGCGGCATGGCTGCACCGGAAACTTGAAAACTCAATCCCAAAGCCTGGCCTTGGACAATGCTTTGTTTGTCTGCATAACCGCATGCTGGCTGCGGGGGGAAGCAGAAGGGAGCTCCGAAGCGGCTCCGAGGGGGCTCTCGCGCTAGCGGAGAAATTGTCGGCGCACTGTGCAGTTGAAACCTGCAGGAACCTCCCGAAATGCGGAAGCCGAGTCTCAATTCCGATGGCGGTCTTCTTGGCCATGGCTTCGAGTGGGAATGGAAGATCTCTGCTGCAAAACTGAATTGGCTGCAGTTACGCTAAGTCAGGAACAAGCAAGCACAAGAGAGCTCGAAAAGGAGATGTCGAGAGCAGAAAATCCCAGGTACTAGGAAACTCCAGCCTCCAGGCCAAAAACGGCCCAACTACCCCCCGCTGAAATCGCCTCAAAGACTTCTTCGATTGCCGGGACCGAGCCACTCAGCCCCCGAACCAAAAAACGCTCACCTTGCAGCCTCCTCATATCTACTCATACTAGTCTGAAGTCTTGCCGGGAGCCGCCCAACTGGTTCAAACCTCTCCTCTCTGCTCTTCGGTCCCCCGGCTTTGTGGCAAGGGTTGCCACACTTGTCACCTTGGGAGGCGCCGGTCCCTTCAGGCACATTACCAGCATCGGAATCAGAGTGAAAAGCTCTTCGACAGAGCAGGCTTCTTAGCACTCTCACAGGCTCCAAACACTCATCCCTAATGCTGTCGACTCGTTGAGTCCCAAGGACCGAACGAAACTCCATGAAACCCGGCCCGGGCTAAAGCTTTCCGAAGAACTTGAATTCCTGCTCGCCGAAGCTGCAAGCTGAACCCAGACCATGATTCTTCCAAATCCTTTCCTAGTCCTGAGCCCTACACCCACGAGCGCTGCGAGTACGGCACGGAGCAAGACACACAAAAACTCAGACAAGCCTTGAAGGGTGAGTCAGATTCTGAGATTGCCTCTCAAGGGCTCCTTATAGCCGGGCTCCCAGCAGGTCTCCAAGCTCCTCATCAGCCACTCCACGGATGGCATGGCCTCAGTGCCCCGGCGCTTGCAATCCCGGCGCCCTCTCCCTCTCCTTCTCCTTCCCTTTGTCATCTGGCCTTGACATATAGGTAGGAAGTCTGTGCAGAGGCAGCTGAAGGATCAACACTGCCCGAACTCTTGTCTAGAGACAATCCGCGCGGAATCGTGGGGGTTGGAGCCTAGAGCCTTGGTTGCGAAGGGAACGCATAACTGAACGGCTGCCGTCTTCCTTCGGTTCGTCGGCTCCGCTTTTGGACCTCCTATGACAATCTCGCTCTGCTTCAGAACAAACGGGCGCAAACGAAGCGGTCACCAAGGACCGTGGCTGCTGAATCCCCAACAATCAGAAGTACCATGAGTACGCACGCCAGGAACAGCCTGTTAAAGCAGCACTAACAAGATAAATCCGAAGATTATCGTCATCCTTTAGCATAGCACATCACAGTTGCAGTCGCATGTGCAGCAACCACAATGGCAGCAGCAACCAACCCAAAGCTCAATAAATACACGAGGGATGGAACAATCCCAAAAAGCGGTTCTTGACCTCTCCTTGCACAGCGAAGGCAAGTCTGGACCCAATTTAGCTTCCCACCGCCGTCCTGCCAAGCATGGCTTTGCCAATCTCCTGGAGGAGACTTTCGAGAAGACATGGAGCTGAAGTCGGGGGAAGTTCTGTTAGAGCCGGTGGAGGATGTAAAGGGCTCTTCAAGCAGATCCGGAGTTCAACTGAGCAGTGTCGTACCCCCAAAACCCAAATCGCATCGCGTTTGTCAGAGAGCCTAAGGGCGCTAGGGGAAGATGAAGCCAATAGAAGGGATTCGGAGAAAGGTACTCCCGGCTCATTCGCCAAAGCCCAGAACTCTGAGACCAGGTGGTTACTGCGAGGTGCCATACACTGACGCAGAAGTAGAGAACGTTGAACTCTGACTACAAGTTTTGTTGCTGACGAACCTCAAAACAAGCTCTGCTCATGCAAGCAACTTGCCTGCCCAAAATGTTCCAGTTGCTGAAGATTGTCCCTGTCCTTCTGATTGTTCTTGACATGGTGCTCCCTGAGCGTTCAGTGTCAAGTTTGTGAGCTCTGGCTTGGCGGCTGGAGGGCCTTAGCGATGACCCCCCGCCGCAGCTCCTCGAAATACAACCACCCTAGACTATGCAGATGGAACTCCTCTATAAGGCAGCTTGAAGCATCACACCAGTAGTGTTAGGCACTCTTGGAAGCCGGGGATCGTAGCCAAGCACTCCATCTTTCCTGTTGGTTAGTAAAGTAAGCTTTGTAGAGCCAGTTACGAGTAGGGCTGTGGTGTCTCCACGTGCGATTTCTCTCGAAGGCGAAGCTTAGGGCTTAGGCCTCTTGCGGCTGAAACCTGCACCTGTTTTACTCCTTAGTTCGCACGCGGGCAAGCCAAGTGATCGCAGCATCGAAGGACGCTGCCGTCAGATCGCCAGTGGCGATCTCGAAAGCATGTCGAGAGAGAGGGACGGTGAAGAGCTGGTCCTCTTTGCTGGACAAGTTTTCGAGAGCCTGTGTTGGCTCCACGTATTCAGAAGCCACCAAAGGGCCCTATGCCGCACCCCCTGTCTTGAATCCCAGGTTTGGAACCCTGTCCTTACTTCGCCACTCTTCTCCTCCTTTTGGAGCACCGGCTCTGGCTGCAAGCTGTGTCAAGAACTGGCGGCTGTGCTCCTCGGACAACTTCAGGGATCGCCGAGTGACGGAGGCCGGAAGCGGCAGTCTGGTTTTGTTTCTGCAGGATTTCGGTTTAGCGCCCGTCAGTGGGAAATTTGTTTCGAATACTCTGCTGCAGGCAACGAAGCTCAGATGCGGTGCTCAAAACTCGCACCCGAAAAAAACTCAGGCGTGAAGATACCATTCGTAAGATCAGCTGGTAGAACCTGGCAGTGAAAGATTCTGGTTCTGGCCCAAACTTCACCCGCAAGGAAGGCAAAGACCCACACGAGCCACTCAACAAGACCGAAGGGGCTACTGGGACCACGCCATCCAGCTCGCCGTGGATGATCAAAGTGGGTGGCCAGGCGCCTGCAAGCTCCTGACTCGCAGCCTTCAGCGCTTCCAAAGGCTCGGCAGATGCCCAGAGCTGGCGATCGCACCAGAGGACGAACACCTTCTTTCAAGAGGGCCGCTGCGGGACTGTCAAACATTACTCGACTTCCTTCCGATAGCTTTCAATCATTTCAATCCACGCGAAACAACGTGGGACTTACAAGCAGGTACGTGCAGTGCACAAAACCTTCGAGCGCTGCGAACACGGAACGGAGATTCCGTGTGTAGCAGCAGAATGAAATATCAGACCTAAAGCCGTCTTCCTCAAGTTTCCCCGGCCAGGCCTCGAAAAACCATGCCAGGAAACTCATCCCACGCCCGACACCAAGCATACTACAAGAGAAGGGTGACCTTAGGTGGTGAAATCGACAAAACGGAGAAACTGAGAAATTGGAGGAAACCAATCGAAAGGTTATTGAATCGCGGTTGAATGTTGGAGAGACAAAAGAAACCACTTGAAAGAGACTCGAGAAGTAGACAAGCGGGGAGTTTCTAGGATTACACTGCGTTGCTCTATTCTATGTTACTTCACCGTTCGGTTAGTTGAAGTTATCTTGACCACCTTGTCAAACTTATCTGAAATTACCTTGCCTTGACTTTATTTGGCTGACCAACCAACTAACTCGATCGCTCGCTTCCTCCCTCCCTCCCTCACCCCTGAGGGTGGACGCATATAGGTAAAGGCATATCATGCCTATACATACGCGACTATGACTTTAGATATCAAGTAACACATATGGCTGTTGCCTTCCCGCTTCTCGATCTTGCTAGTCGGGGCTTGCAGCCGTCATTGTTCACTTGATTGCCGACACGGGAACTTCACAGTCGCACCGGTGCGATCCGCCGGATCCAGGGCCGGGTAGCAGAGCAGCACGGCTCGGAAGCGGATGGCAGAGGCGCCTCGGGCCTTTGTTTGCACACCCGGTGGATCCAAGGAGAGACAGGGAGAGCCAAGCGTAGTATCGCTAAGTCACGCACAAGGCTATCGGCTAGTTGCTTGAGCGATTGAAAAGCGTCTATAACATCTTCTGACTCAGGTCTCGGATAGCAAAGATCTCTACAAAGGCTCGAGAGCTTTTCGGCCGGAGTTGCCAGAAGCAGCGCCGCCAGGTGCCCGCCAGCTGAAGCACCGGAAATGGAGACATCAGACCTGGGCTGGTGCCGCAATCGGACGCAAACCGCTTCACTCTCCCATCCAGCACTACTAAGACCATTGGTGTGAACACCCCCTTTCGGATTCAAGCTCCTTGCCATTGCCTGCAGCATCACCACAAAAACAAGACACATCCTCACAGTATGATCTTCAGTCTGATCATCGCTATCATGATGGCAACCAAAACCACTTTCGTCAAGAAACATTACCATCAGCAGCAACATCATGTCATGACCACCATCATAATCACCACCATCATCGCCAGAACTCTTCTCGTCGCCGTTATCATCGTCGCCACCACTCGCATCCTCCTGGCCATCACACTCGGCAACGTCATCCCCTCGGCATAGCTGTCCAGATCCGCCTCCTCTTGCTTGAACACCAGGTGCTTTCCAGATTCCATGGCCATCGCTATTTTTGTCACATCCTGTTTTTGTCGGTTGTTTGCGCCTTTATTTTCTGGGTGTGGGGCTTAACCCAAAAAACAAATCGAAGATCTGTCAAAAACACCAGAATATCACAACATGAACCATTGGAAAAACAAAACACAATGAAAATGAATGACACACAAACAACGATAACAACCAACACAATACCCAGAAAAAAAATGCGATCCGGTTCATCACATACCTTAAACACGCCTGCCTGTTGGGCGATTCCGGTTCACCATATATCTTAAACACCTCCCCTTTGGGTGATTCCGGTTCATCATATATCTTAGACACGCCCCCTCACCTGGAGATTCCGGTTCCCCTTGGGCGATTCCGGTTCATCATGCATCTTAAACATGCCCCTCTCACTTGGCGATTCCGGTTCATCAATTATCAAGGACCCCCCCTATTGGGCAATTCCAGTTCGTCATATACCTTAAACGCGCTCCCAACCATTGGGCAATTCCGGTTCATCATCATCATCATCATCATCATCATCACCCTCATCATATATGGAATTTTTTCATATATATATATATATATATATTACATATACTCTATTTAAACTTATATATATATATACACATTGAACAGACCCATCATTTGGCGATTCCGGTTCATCACATATCAAAAAACACGCCCTGCCATTGGGGGATTCCGGTTCATTATATATCTGAAACACGCCCCCTCATTTGGCATTCATCATATATCTTGGACCCCCCTTAGGCGATTCCGGTTCATCATATACCTTATATCTTAAACATGCCGAACAAGAACACGAACAAGAGCAACTAACCTCAGTTGCACCATCACCTCTGTCACATCTCCAGCGCCATCCTATTGCAACCCATTGTGGTCATCAAGCCATCGCATCATCAATATCATCTTTCGCAGCAGCACGATCGCGATCAGAGACATGGTCATGCTCGCGTCGCTGTCAAGGTTGACGTCCTGCTCCTGCTCATCGTCACCATCATCATCATCATCAGCCGCAGCAACACCATGATGGCCTTTATGAGCATCATCCCACCACAGCGTTATCTGCATCCTCATCCTGATCCTCATCCTCATCATTGTCATCTTCGTCGTCGTTGTTTCCACAGCCGTACCCTGACTGTCACCGCCATCGCTACCACATCTTCATCATCACCACCATGATCGTCGTCTCAGCCATGATCACTTTCATCGCTACTGCGGCGAGCAGCTTGGCTGCTGGGAAAGCCCTATGCACTGTGAGAATCTGAGACGATGGGCAAGTCAGCGCCCAATGTGGCGCCCTCCTTTTCGAGCCACTCGAGAGCAGCCTTGCAGTCCTCGGACAAGATTCCGCCAAAAAAACAGGGTGGTTGCAATGGTCGTAGAGGATCTACGTTGTGGCTTTCTTCATCGGATTTTTGTTTGGCTGGGCTTTGATGTTGCAGATTTGGAAGCCGATGTGGAACTCGTTGCCTCACTAAACCTCAGATTTTCAAAGCACTGAGAACCTGAGGACCCCTGCCAGAAGCGATGAATCCACAGGAACCCCTGGGATCTGCCGCGCGTACTATGCAGGATAGGCAAGATAGGAGTATGGTCCCCGTCCTCGAGCTGTACCGGCCATTGTGCACCCCTCCGCCGGCGGTACTCGCAGCTGACGACCAAGAATCCTGCAGCTGCTAGGGCCTGCACGGACGACTCGGAATGTGTCTGCGAATGGGCCGCGGGAGCTTCTGGTCTTCATGGGGCTCCGGGTCAAGGACTTTCGGCTGCACAGCCGCTCGACCCCTCCTGTGCTAACACACAATGTCCCAGTACGTTAGCAGTGGTGAAAGGCCGTGTTAAAAAAGGACGATGGCCCTCTGGAGCCCCAACCGTCCCACCTGGAGGAGGGGTGCTTGTGGCGAGCACCGCCTGTGGCCACCTCGCCAGGCACCGCCATGGATCAGGAACCTGCACATCGCCAAGCTGTGCTGGGACAGAGCTGCGACTTGAGGGAGTTTCGGACGAGGAGCCATTAGTCTATCCCGGGGCCGAGCCACAGCACAGGGTATCCATCCCTCGGTGCCGGAACTCCCGGCCACCAGACATCGATTGGCGCTTCGAGCGATGAAGGGCGGATCTGCTCGAGGCGGATCGGACCCTGCGGCTTCTCCCCCGGCACCTCCAAGCGAGACGTAAATATGGGCGCCGCTAGGTGGAGTCGCTTCGCTTCACTTAGAGTGCACCTCGGAGAAGAAGAAGTAGAGGTAGGGGTGGAGCAGCGTCAGCCAGGGCTGGGGCGGCCGCGGCTGCGGTGGCCACTCGAGCTGCGACAGAGCTCGCCAGCGCCGCGCACTGAGCACAGCGCAGGACACCTCGAAACCCAGAACGCAGGGCAGGCGAAACGCGGCGTATGCACACGACGAAACCTAGCTCTGACGGGTTGAGCTCAGCTTACTTCAAGCTTCGCCCGAGGCACCGAGGAGAGGAGCCAGCAAGATCGCCAGTGCGAGGTGAAGAAGAAGACGCCACAAAAACAGCAGGCCTGGCTGGGTTCCGGGATGAGTCTTCGATAGCACAACACATTGAAGGGATGCTGCCATCACACGCCGTCGGGGCTCTTGCACAGCACACGCACCCGGTTGGCCGAGGTCGCGGCGTAAAACGTGCTGTGGCCAACGAGGAAGGTCATCAGCACATCCAGCAAGGGGGGAACTTGCCCGAACCTCTGGTCTAAATCAACGGTTGAAAGCCCAAAGCGCCCAAAGCCGTTTCCTGCCAAGACTCTAGAAAGAAAGGTGTGTCGAGGCCAAGGGACGGAGGCGGGATCCGGAAGTGCGAGGCCAAGCTGAGGCAGAGCACGTAGGGTCCAGGCTCTCCATACGCGAATTTCCCCAGGCCCCACCAGCCGCAGAGCCACAGAAGCCACGTGACGCCGCACTCCATGGCTGCTGCAGCTGCTCGGACTACCGTCTGGGAGGTGCTGAGAGGTGTGCTTCTGACTCTCGCAAGAGGTTTCTTATTGAAAGGGTTAGGATCCACCAGCTGCCGCCAGCTGCACCGAGCAAATGGACAAAGCAAACATGATTGGCGCAAGCAAAGCAAACAGACCGACCCAGCCTGGCAAAAGGCGAAAGAGCTGCTGAGACTGGTGACCACGGAGAACCCTCGCCCGAGCAGCCCTAAATCCGGAAAATCCGAAAATCTACGCCTGGGCACCCCGCCACATTCGTCGGAACTGCTTCGGCCACAGCTTCTCCGCCGTGCGCTCCAGGCGCACCCTGGCCGGCCCCGCCAGCTGGGTGAGGCGGCTCGGGGCGAGGCGGCTCGGGCGGAGCAGGCTCGGGGGTTTTCCTGGCTCCGGGTTTACTTACGGAGGGCCTTTAGAAATTTGGAAAGGGCTTTCTGGGTAGGCTGCCTTCAAGGCTTGTGCGGCCTTTATTTAGGACATGCCGAAGTGCAGACTTCGGTACAGTCCAGGCCCCAAGTCGAACGGTGGGCGCAAGAAGGCGCACCGCTCATGAGACCTTAGGCTCGGAAGAGCATCGAGCCTTCAACGTCTTTCGGGCGGACTCGCGGACGCACACACTCGCAGAGAAGACCCCTCCCCCCTGGCCCCGGCCTCCAGTGACTGATCTCCTCGGCCACTCGCTGCCTCGGCAGCGGGCGGAACATGCGGTGTCGTGGGCCTTCTCCATACAGGCTCTGCTCTTAACTGGTGGAAAAAACTCTTGGCGGTCCGCGGCCGGTGGGCGTCGGATTAGAGCAGTTCACGACAAGTACGGCTCAAAAGCACCTTCTTCAGTGGAGCCTGATCCAGGCACCCCCCCCTCGCAAAGCCTAAACCCTGCGCGGCAACGGGGAACCGGGCTGCTGATGCTGCACTTTGTACTCTTGCATCCGGCGCTGGGCCTGCAGGTCACTGCAGGTCAAGCGGAAAAGCCTTCCACCCGCATGGAAGCTTGAACAAAAATCCAACTCCCCGAAACTTGGGCTGTTCCGGATGCAGAGGGCTCCGGCACCTCTTCATCCATCTTGCGCTTCTTCCTGGCACGGACGCCGTATTGGGCTTTCTGTTTGCGCTTTGCACATGGCTTCCCTCGACGTTTATGATGGCTTGACGCCTGGCACCACCAGGCACACAGAACATGCCGAAGGGACACAGCGGCCAGGTTTCGCTTCTCCTCCAGGGCGGCCCTCTTCTCTGCATCCTGGACTGCAAGAGGCAGTTTGGGAAAGTGAGCACGGCGATTGAATCAAACAAGTTTCGGTGCCGGCTGGTGTTCGAGCCGTGAAATGCGAGCTGCGAGCTCTGGCAGAAACATCTCTTCGCCGTGTAGGGTGCACCTAACGACATGAAGCCATGAAGCACGACATGCAGAATTCACAAAACCGAATCCACAAGAATGGGGCCGTCAACCGGTTCGCAGGATGTGGAATGGAGGCTCATAGGATACTAACAAGTTCTGACAATTTCTGCAGAGATGGGATGGGAACCTTGCTTCTTCAAAGAAATATGGGTGGTGGGAATCGTTCGCTGAAAAGATGCGTCTGGCCATCCCGTGTGTGATCCAACGGAGCAGACCCGATCTTCAAGTACAGCAACAAGAGGTGGGCCGAAGACAAAAACAAGCCTGACCAAAAGATAGGGTTTAGTCGGGTTTAGGTCTGTGTGATTGTAGGGTTGGGTGGAGGTTTCACAGGCAAACCAGAAGAGGCCATCAACCTTACATCTCGTGTGATGTGCATTGGCCGTCCTGCTGAACGGCAAGGTCTTCCGCTCGCCTGGCTGGGGACGTCGGTCTTTACATATTCGAATGCCGCATCCACAAACTCAAGACCACCCCGGCTGCAGACACCTCCAGCCCCACACACAACCCACCCAAAGCACGCAAGGCTAAAGAGAGCATCACACGAAACGTTTGAAGCCCTGCACCAAGTCTTCAACAGCTCGCGTGGGGCGCATTTTGAGCCGCTTCTGCTGCTCCTCCAAAGTCCGGCAGCTGTTGCACTTGAAGAAAGCCATCTTGGCAGGCCTCGGAGACTTCGACTCTCACTTCGTCTCTTGGTGTTGAGGCTTCGTTGGAGGGTAGAACACTGAGTTGTAACTTTTCTGCAAATGTAACTTTCAGCTTTTTCAGCAAATGACTTAGTTGTAACTTCTTTTGGGCTCCGAAAACAACAAATCTCTGCAGAGAATTGCAAAACAGGCATCTTGGTTATGACTTTTTAGGTTTCTTCAGCACACAGCCACTAACATTTTAGGGTGTAATAACTGATTTTCCTTGGGGTTTTCGTCTTCGGCCACGTGTTCCTGCAGGATTCTCTCCCCTGGGTCTTCGGGAAAAAGTTGCTGTTGGATTCACTCCTTAGAGTTTTACGGTTGTCGTCTTGGGTATTCGCTCTTATGGTTTTCGTGGTTGGAATTTCCTGGTGGATTCACTCCTTAAGGTCTTCGTCTTCGGTCAAAGGTTCCTGCTGGATGCATTCCTTCGGGTTTTCGTCTTCCGGAAAAGGTTCCTGTTCAATTCATTCCTCAGGGTTCTCGTCTCGGGTATTCACTGGAAATGGTTTTCGTCTTGAGTAGTCTCTCCTTGGGGTTTTCTTCTTGGGCTAAAGTTTCGTGCTGGATTCACTCCTTAGGGATTTCGTCTTCGGGAGTTTCTCGCTTTGGCAATTCAGTCCTTATGGTTTTCGTCTTGGGCTTCAATTTCCTGGTGGATTCACTAAGCCTTAAGTCTTCGTCTTGGGTCAAGGGTTCCTGCGAATTCACTCCTTAAGGTTTCCGTCTTCGGGAACAGGTTCCTGTTGGATTCACTCCTCAGGGTTCTCGTCTCGGGCATTGGCTCTTTAGGGTTTTCGTCTTGAGTGTTCTCTCCCTAGGGTTTTCGTCTTGGGCTCAATTTCGTGCGGGATGCACTCCTTAGGAATTTCGTCTTCGGGAAAAGGTTGTTGATGGATTCACTCCTTAGGGTTTTCGTCTTGGGTATTCACTCCTTACGGTTTTCGTCTTGCGTCAACATGTCCTGCTGGATTCACTCCTTCGGGTTTTCGTCTTCGGGAAAACTTTCTGTTGGAATCACTCTTTGGGCTTTTCGTCTTCGGGAAAAGGTTCCTGCTGGATTCAGTCCTCAGGGTTTGCATCTTCGGGAAAAGGTTCCTGCTGAATTTTCTTATGGTTTCGCTTCGGGTATATAGGGTTTAGGGTTTAGGGTCAGAATTGCCTGCTGGATTAGGTGGAACCCCAACAGTACCCTCTGTAAACCAAAGAGCGCATCCCCCGCATAAAAGCCCACGAACGTCGCAATGAACGCCTGCGGGGTCCCGTAGTGGCGCAGCGTCAGCTCGAGAAGGGAGTGGTCGATGCTGTCGAAGAACCTTGTCGAATCCTTGGATATGATGACAGCGCCGGGGCTGTTCTCAAAAGCCAGGACCGCACTCAAAGTCTAGTGGGTCAACCACTGATCCATCTAACGCCGCAAACGTTGATGACAATCTTCAAAGCAAGGCGCCAGACCACCTCCGGCTCATCGATCAAAGTCACCGAACAGCAGGACCACGAGCGAAGGACTTTTCCAATCTTGAAGATGACCTGCAACAAGTCGGCCAGGCCCCGCCACCACTGTCACGGCAGGCGGAGTAATTCGTCCAAAGTCCACTGATCACGACCTGGAGCCTTCTTCATCATGAGCGCCGACTGCCTGAGCTCATCGACCGAAAAGTTGCAGTTCAAGCTGGCTTGGGGTGTGGCAGACACTTGATGCAGGAAAGAAAGTACTTCGTCTCATCGACGGTGCGAGCCCTCCAGCGCTCTTGCCAGTCAAACAGTGAAGGTCTTCCTGATACCCAAACCCGAACGGGCGCCACTATGCCCAATGCTCTTGAAATGTTGCATGGCTTTCTTCACCTCTTCCTTGTGATTTTGCTGCAAATTGTTGTTCATTGACCAAGTTATATGGGCATCACTCTTCGTCTTCTTCTTGTCGATCTTGACTGAGCAAAACTTGTATTCCCGTGGGCGGTCCGGGAAGTTGTATGCGAAGCACGGCTTCTTCACCTCGCCATCGTCATGAATCCGTCGCTCGCCTTCGAAATTGAAATTTGACGTACGGCTCCCGGTGGAGCCACATGTTCACAGCAATCTAGCACAGGAGCCTGGCACCGATTTGGACGTCTTGGCCGTCATGAGAAGCAAGTCGACGTCGCTCGGGAATTGTTTGCGGACAGGAGTGCTGGGATCATCTCCCCCTCCGCCTCGATGTTGAGACCACTGTCCAATCGGATCCCTCATACTGCTGCTAACCAAGACGTGGGAAAACCCCTGGGAGGCTTGCTAATGGCAAAATAGTGATCCACGTGCCTAATCACCGGGATAATTGGGTACTTCTCCCCCTTGCGGGATGTCGTCGATCGTGCTTTTGCTGGCCAAGTGACGGGTACGCAAGTCACTACGTTGCCGGCCCTTTTTGGCATGACTCAGACCTACAAGAACACAGCTTGCAGGTCCAAATACGAGGACCGCGGGGAGAATCCTCAGCACCAACGGCAAGATCAATGTCAGCCTCGGACAAGCAAGCGCCAGCATCTGACTGAAAATCAACGGCATGATGAGAAGGACTCGCCGTCTTATTGCTTTGCCTGACCGGAGCGCAATCAGACAAAGTGAGTCGGGCCTCACTGGCAAGAGCCTTTTCCCCTCTTGCGACTTCCACTTTTGCATCTCAGAGTGGACGGAAGGAGAGACAGGCCACAACCATCGCACGTCGCCGTTTGTCCCAGCGCATTTTTTGCTCGAGACGAACAGTTTCCGCACCAGGGCAACGGCGAGCTTGCACTCGACGCAAAAGGCGCCGAAGGCAGAGCCGGCTCCGGCTCCCAAAAAGCCATGTGACCAAGGTCCTTGCAGCACCTTGCAACTTCGTCCTTGCAGCACCTTGCATCTTCGC